AGGGAAGGTGGGGCTGGGGGGGGGGGGGGGGGAAGGGAAAACACACAACAAGGGGCAAAGGGTGTGTGTGGCTGTGTGCCAGGCAGCTCTGCTCTCTCCATCGGCTCTTGGCCTCCGTAAGAGGCCAGGTGGCTCGTGGGCCGGAGCAGGTGAAAGGGGTGTTCTGTCCTGTTACCTGACAAAGCACACCCCACCCCATGTATAAGGAGGCCCAGATGCCTCGAAAAGGGGATGGGACAGATTCCTGGAGGAAAAGTTCATCGCAGGTGACAAGCCACAATTGGACGCATCATCGCCAGGCTTTGAAGGAAGGTCCCTCCAAAGGCCAGAGGCAGGGGAAGGGGGGGGGGAATCAGGTGACAGATCTCTAGTGGTCTTGTGGGCTCCCAGTGGCATCTGATGGGACCACTGGGGGATACAGGGAGCTGGACTCAGGGAGCCCGGGGCCTAATCCAGCGGGGCGCTTCTTAGGTGCTCATGACTCCTTGTTCATGAACAGCTCTGTCGGGGCCACCAGGCAAGGAGCCTGGCCAGGCTGGTGGGGGCACCTCTCCAGTGCTGCTCCTTGTTCGGGGGGGGGGGGCTCCAGCCCTGTGAAAGGCAGAGAAGAGGCAAGGCGGGAACGGAAGGCGAAGAAGGGTGGCCAGACGCGCCTCTCCCGCTCTCTGCCCACCACCCTTCCAAAGACCTCCTCTCCACAATCTCCCCACTAATCCTTTTACTTGGTGTAAGGAAGGGGGGCGGCAAAGACAACAGGGAAGCCAGAGGGAGTCTGTGCATTTAACAAAAACAATTAGCCCCTGGATTGAGAGAGAGCAGCTCTGCGTCAGGCAATCCCTGCCGGCAGTCAGAGGCCAGATGGTGACGGATGCTTCATCAGCCATTAGTGACAAGGTCATAATTAGTCTGCAGCCCTGATCTCTCTCTCTCTCTTTCTCCTCCACCCACCCACCTACCCCTGCGCCACCGACCTCCCCCCCTGGGAAGAGGGAGGGGGCGCAGGGGTTTTACTGCCATCCTTTGCTCCATCTCACGCAAAACCACGGCTTCGCATCCCAGGGTTCAAATCCCTGGAAGCTCTTCCCCTCCGACCCCAGGTGTGTCTGGCCTGCTTGCTTGGAAGGTTCAAAGATCACAAGGGCTTTGTCACCGAAAAGGGAAAAGAAGGCACCGTCCTCCCTCTCTCCTGGCCGTCCTTCCTCGGTGACTTTCTGGCGCAGCCTTTCTCCATGTCTCCCAGACAGAGCACATTACAAGCGCCATCCATAAATGGCCAGGTTGGCTGTGGGTGCAAGAGGGCACCACAAAGGGGGGAGGGGAGAAGAGAAATCCTTCCAATCCGATCCGTACAATTCACAGCCAGCGGAAGCGGCAGAACCTTCCAGAAGGACATCTCCTGGCTACCCAACAGCCTTTTCCTTATTTTCAGTCTTTCCCCTTTTGATGGACCTGCTGCCAAAGGAAAGCATGACTCTCCTCCTTGGTGGCTCAAGGGCATCCGGAGGCCAGCAATGAAGCAGCTCCTCTAAAACAGAGCTCTAAGGAGCTGCTGGGAAGCCTGGCCTTTGCGTAGGGGGAGCCCGAATCGGTTCCAGGCACCTGAGCAGGCTTGAGAGGGCGGGGGGGAAAACAAGCCTCTCCCAGGGCCCTCGAGGACGGCCGCCTGTTGGGAGTCAAAGGTCACGCTGGGCCTGCCCAGGATGGAGCAAGCACGAGGGGGGGGGGGGGGGAGAGGGATGCTGAGCTCCCCCCCCCGAACAAAAGCCTCATGGGCTTGTGTTATGGGGCAGGGAGCAGGACACCGTCAGACACACCCAGACACCACCCACCAAGACGGTCAGATGACAACACCCTTGTTCTCTCTTTTCCGTCTTTTCTACCTGGTATTCTCCTTCCCCGCTTCTTTGTCTTCCAAACAACCCTGAGAGGCAGGCCAGTCGCCCACCAGGTTTCTTGGCTTTGTGGAGATTTGAACCCTGCTCTCCAGAGTCTTTGCCTGGTCTTCTAAACCCAATTCCATTCTGGTTCCCCTCCATCCCCTGCTGACAGCGGAGTCCTGGCGCCTGGTGTGTTTTTTCTTCCAGGGGCTCACAGAGATCACCAGGGGGTCCTTCTCTGCTCCCATGGCCCAGGGATCATCCATGACATGGACAAGGACCGCCGCAGGCCCTGGAGGCCGGCTGAGGGCCCTTGAGTGACCTCTGGCCTGGACCAAGCAGCAGCAGGAGACAGCACAGCACAGCACAGACAGACGGCTAACCTGGGGGG